TCCGACGCTAAAAGGTATCAATCTTCTCTGACGTTTTTTTTTTTTTTTTTAAATTTTTTTTTTTTTTTTTTTTTTTTTTTTTTTTTGATTTGTATTAATCTAAATATGATTTATTCATAAGATATTTTACTAATGTAACGTCAAGCATTGGCGGGAATTCAAAAGCTTCGCGGTTGGAACAGTTCCAACTAATAAAACGTAGAAAACGCTAGACGAACATTAGCAATAAGGCTTTAAGTCACTAAGGAATGGAATTTTGTAGTATCCTAGGATTTGTCCATTTAGCTCTTTTAAGCAAAAATTGAGGGTCTAAAAGAACAGGCTTATACCACAAACGGGACGTTTTTGTTTCACACAGCGGGTCTCCGTGCTCGTTAACTCTCGCTTTCGTAAATGCCATTACAACAAATCTAATTTTAGACTATCTGAACTAGATACGTCTGCTGGCGATTTTAATGTTTTAAAACAGGCTTGTAATATGTCCGCGATAATACTAAATATTTGTATTTTATTGCCATAGAATTACCTTAGAATTGTTTTCGAACATTAAGTAGTATTTCCTAGCTGTTTACGTTCTTTTCCTTTTCTTCATTCATTTAATTTTTGTACAGTACAGTACAATAAAAAAACGGGGGGTCGAAGTAAATCGAGTTTGCTGCATGATAGGGTCGTTTCATAATGAAATTTTTGAACTTCACTCGAGAGATAGATATCGATAATATTAATCTGCAAATAGGAAAGAAATAAAACTCTTTGCAAAAGCTGCTCGGAGTTATCTAAAAGCATCTTATTAATCGCTTCTTGACAAGCAGAAATTAAAAGGGAAATTTTTTAAAATTTATTTCTATTAGATTTTCTTATTTTCTTTTACTTTTCATGTTAATGAATTTCACTGGACTAAGAAAAATACTCCTTCTACAAGGCTTAACGAATCATGAAAAACAAAATAAATTGAATCTTGCGGGTAAAAATTCAGTGAACAATAATATAGGATAAATTGAAAAAATATTTTCTCGTTTAATTTTCTAATTTTCTCCATGTTTGTAAGCCTCCAAAAGCCTTCTACGTTAATGGAAGTCTTGGCTTTGTATTAATGAACTGAAGCAGCGCATTTCAATTAGGTTGTTTATAAGCAAGCTGGTTACCTTTTGTACACGACGCTAGCACCAAAACACCTGTAAATGATATCTTCAGTTAGTAAACTTTTGTTTATACAAATCCACTGATCTAAGAGCTGTAGATAGCGATATTGTGATATTGTGTGTGCCTCCAAGACCGCCTTCTTATTACTCGTATATTTGCTCGCACAGCTCTTTTAGTTTCCCAAACAGAACACTCTGGAAGCAAAACCACAAACGCTGGTGATTTGCAGGTGTTTTATTTCCGGTCGCCATAGCAACCCAGGAATGTGCTTTAGTCTATCATTCCTCATTAATATGGATTGGCAATGGGTCAAGATAGATATGTACTATGGAAGCCTTGGAAGCGATGTTTCAGACTAGTTATGGCGATTTAGTAATGGCACTATGCGGAATTGATTGAAGCGCAGAAATAATTGCTGCGAGCCGTCAGGCGAGTAGCAAGAATGATCTTTACAATTGGGATCCCTGTGTGCTATATGCCAAAAACTCGATTTGTAGTTGTCGAGATGATTTTCGGAGTATGCAGTATGTTTGTTTAGCGGGTTTTATCATGAATTTGTGTGACGTTGAAAGCACGTTGCTCGATTTGCTGTTAACCGAGGTTTACTTATTTATTGCTGGAAGCATTCATCAAGGTCATGTACGATTTAGTGACATTTCACGAGGAAGACAATACAATACAATACAATACAATACAACACAATAACTTTATTTAACGTGGTCAAAAATACACTTAGCTCAATATATAGAATATTTTGCTAATTGGCAGGTACTGCCACAATGTTCTTTCATGAGTTTTTCAGCGCTGTTATGTGCTCAGACTTTGACAATAGAACACTGGACTGCCGTAAAAACCATCCCAGATACCGAGAGGCTGTCACTCAAACGAAACAAAACAGTCGGCCATTGACGCAAATAACATATCACACCGATTGCCCGCTGAGGCAAAAAAAAATCAATCTCCTATTATGGTAACAAATGCTGATCTACCAATCGTTTTGACATACCATAAACATCTTTTGACATTATTTTTTATTATATAGATATCGATGAAATACCAGGTATTCTACTAGTGTCGAAAACTTGATGTCTTTCACCAGTGGAAGATACCATATCTTTCACACGTGAAGATATCGCTGTTGAATCGGCTTGCTATTTTAATAAAGAATTTTTGAGCTTTTGTTTTATTTAAGTTTCATCGATATCTATACAATAAACAGAACATTACATGGCAGCTTGGAGATACGAATTTTATCTTCTCGTGTTCAATTTAAATATCAATTGAACACTCGAAGATAAAATTCGTATCTCCGCGCGCCCATGTAATATCCTCTATTTATACATACTCGCAGCATTTCATTTGCACTATGCAACAGCTAGTTAATGTCACTTTAAATAAAATAAGGAAAAAAGAGTGTACTAAATAATACAAGAGTGTTCTCCAATTAAATCAAGGGTTTTCTAAGGTTCTCCGGTTTTCAGTGTTTTCTCCACAAACCCCGACACAAATTCCATGGATCTGTATGCTAGATGTGCACTGGCTTAGATCAGCCAAGAGGTTGGCTCAGGGCTCGATAAATTTGATGTTTAAGTTTTGATTTTAGATATTAAATTTGAGATGTAAAGTGTTTAACAATCTGAACATCTACTGTCAGTCCGCATTAAGAGTCTTTAAGGTGGCTCGACCCCCTCACGCTTGACCGCTACCTTCCACTTTTGGAACGCTAGTGCATAAACGTCTTTTA